TTTTGTTGTTGGTGTCGTTGTTGGTTTGGTTGTTGGTGCCGTGGTAGGTTTGGCCGTTGGAGCTGTTGTGGTATGTCCAGTACCTGTTAACAAGGAAACAAACATTTCTGGAAATTGCGGCTCTTTTCTTCGGTGCGGTTTCCATGATGCCCATTATCTGAGGATGATTGCAACTCTTCAAAAGTTATGATTTACATTTTTTCGCAAAATATTTTTACACCAATGTTTTACTTACTTGAGACAACGAGGAAGAAAAACACAATGAATCCAGCCACGTTTATCTTCATCTTGCAGCAATAAATCACATTCCCTTCAATACACGAGCATGGACTGTTGCTCTGGTAATTTCGCGTGGCCAATTGGTGGGTTTACCTTACCACAAAGAAGTGGCTCCAACGATTCACCCTGTGAAGTAAACTTGCTCGCTCTCCTAAGTTTGCCTTGGTACTTACAAAATGATAAAACTCAGGTTCCTTATCTGTTCATGTCGGCTATATCAATGGATTAAAAAATCCTCCTCTTGCTTGTTATCAGCAGGGCTAGGGGCCGTCTCAACAACATGGAGCTCTCATAATAAGCAATAAGTTGGAGTAGCAACAGCTCTCCCTCCCTGATCCAGTGGCAGAATTAACTTAGATTCGTTTTACGGGGGTATTTGGTGCACCACATTTTCTGGCGGGGGTACGTCAGGATCTGAATTACCTCGTTCTTACGGAGTAAAAGGTAAGACACTAGCAAAGGTAGACTACCACAAGATATTTCGTTGTCTAATTTATGAGCGGGTGGGGAGCACGGGGGGGGGTTACAGGCCGTCACGGGGGGGGGTGCCCCCATGCCCCCTGAGTGACGCCGCTGCTTCGATCCCCTATTGGCTAAGTGCAGGTGATTTCAATTTTGACTTTGTGACAAAATACAGATTAAAAAACACCTACCGACGGATCAGACCTTGTACATACCCCAAATATTCTGTCCCTCAACAAGTGCCAAAGAAAAATGAAACCATTGTGAAAAATTCAGCAGCGGAAATGAGAGAACGCTGTCGTCGAAATTCCCCTTCATTTAAAATCGGCTAAAACCAGAGCACGTCGTCATGGTCATTGTGTGTATGCGCGCCGGGAGGGGGTATGTGCGAAAAGGGTAGTGGGCGTCTGTAAGCAGGGTATATTGTTTCATATGCGTTCAACATGTTTTTTTTTATAATTAAAGTGGTACTGTTCAAAGTGGACAGTATTGGATTATTGGTGGCACATACCGCGTGCCAATGCAACTGACCTGCCATGGTAACTCACCTACCACGTGCGAACGCTCACTCACTCACTCACTCACTCACTCACTCACTCACTCACTCACTCACTCACTCACTCACACACTTACTCACTCACTCACTCACTCACTCACTCACTCCACTACCCACCCACCCACTCACTCACTCTAGCGTCCTGGAATGCCATCGTGTTTGATGATACAAGTTTTGAAGCCAATGCTCAAGTTAGGTCATAAGAAAACGTTTGTACCGGAAAAAGCTGCTATTGCAAAAAAAGTGACAAAGAACCTCGGTATAAATAAGACCTTGTGGGCAAGTGTTGGTAAAAACTCACCGTTGTCAACTGCATCTCGCAGGAAGAACGGTTCGACGTACCGCCAGATGGCAAAAGACGGTATTTCAAGCCGTCACGTTGTGCTCTTTACGCCACGCATAAAACTGAGAGTAGGTCACTTTATATTTTCTCCTTTTCTTTTCGTGGAGTCCATACCAACCGTGCAGTCTTTATCGAAACAAAATATAGATATCTGTTCTTACCCTTACCTAGTGGTGGGAGGATAAGTAGTTGTCGTTGGCCTACGAAGCTCTGAATAGAGGGATCCCAATACGACGCTTTATAGCGTCGATCTGCGCACTTCTTTGTTTGAAAACGAGGCTGTATGTGTCAGCGTCAATTCTTAATACGGCCAGACGATTGAAAGTAAGGAGTCAAGACACAAAATACATAGAGGTATGTTAAATTCAGACTTTTCAGGCTTCAAATATTTTTGGAAGAGTCTTTAAGGATGACTTGACACATAAAATCAAAAGAAAATAACGGCAATTTACCGCGAGCTATAACGCACGTGCGATGGTCGTGTATCTTGTGCAGTGGGCGTGGTTTAAACTGAAGTGGTGTCACACTTACGAACCGAATACTGCATGTACTGTGTCGACTCCGCGGACGCACGCGTGGAAGCTCAACAGAGAGAGCCTCGCCTTCGATGCGCTTAGGCGCAGACGGCGCTAATGTCAAATTCCTCTGTTTGGCTGAAGTTGCTAGTCGAAGATTTCTGACTGATATCGGGCTTGTAAGGCAATCGTTCGTGACAGGAACCAGAATGCCGGCTGTGTTCATGCGAACATGTGCAGCCACTACGTATGGTACTTGTGTTGTAAGACCGTTGCTCAGTATAGTTGCGATCATATTTTCCAAATGCAAACGAGACTTTTTGCCCCAGTTCACCCCGCGCGCGTAAACTGTGATTTATCTACTTTATCCCTTTTTGTTTCTGGATCTCGGTTAGTGATCGCCAACGCTGGTTCCCCCCATTCATTACAGGCGGGCTCTGGTGTCAGCAAACCAGCTACCAATCACTGACCAGACCCAGATCCGTGTGAAACAAACAGGTCCTTATTTACGTAACATACTTGTATGTGACCTTTTAGTAGAAAAAGTGCACGCGTTGTGCACTTTTCAAAGTGCTCATTTCTGGATTACGTAGAGCAAGAACTACCATTTACATAAGCGAATTACTGTGCTTTATGGTGTTTGACGGAACAAAGCCAAAACTAAAATATAGAAATGGACGTACAAGTGAACACCTGAAAACAACAGGCGTACCACTCCTTGGAAAGTCTGTCTTTCCCACACTGCACTCCAAAGGCTTGAAGTTGAAATTACAAAGGAATAAATGTGCATGACGGACGAACTTTAAAATAATCTACCAGTCTTTATAAAATTACTCTTTCCCCCACACATGGATCAGTAAAATGCCTGATTTTAAGGTTCCCTGTCCCCACTTAAAAAAAACCAGATTGGAATTATAAAGTCCTTTGAACTTGTCACTTTATCGGCTCGAAAAGGTGCACAAAATCGAAACAGTCTTCATCACTGTGGATTTTGGACGTTGCACATTTTGTGACGTATGCAGCGCGCGTGACCGTGACGCGAAGTTCATCTCTTTGTTATCTTCCCGCTTTTTCTGGTCGAAAGACTAAAAATAGATAGCTGACGCAAATGTGTCCCACGATTTGTCAACTTCGCTGTGGTTCTTTCTCTCATGAGGCCAAAAGAGGCTCTTTCATGGCTATTAATTGTACAATGGTTTACAGTGTAATTTTTTCTCTTCCAAATCTTATACAATCAGACATCAATCACACAATGTTTACAAAATTGATTTTTATTTCGTGCATAGGAAGGAACATCTCTTTTTCTCAAATATCATGAAGAGTTGTAAAATGGAATATGAAATGACAGCAAAAAATCTCAGAAATCGTGAACAATACTTGGAGATTAAACAGTTGCAAAAAAGGCAGGCACTGATGGGCAAACCATTTAATAAATTTACATTCTTAAGTCTAGAAAAATGGTCAATTATAGTACTTCAGAACGATTCATTGAAATTGAGGCGATGTTTTACAATCCGACCGACAACGCGTTTTTATTGCAAGCTGGCATATCTAATACCTACCATGAGAATATATTTATGTACTTGACTAGATGCAAAAGTGTGTTGAACAACGCATTTTCACCAAAACACATGTACATTCAAAGATTAACCTTTTACAGGTGATAGGCCTACTTTCTTCCATTTGTATGCCATTATATTTTCTCCTGTTACTGCGAAGAAAATCACTACATGATACATTAAAGCATATCCACCCAATTTCTTTTCATCAGTGTTAATGATTTGGCTAAAAATGACCCCTTTACTTTCTCAAAGTCATCCACAGGTAAATGTTTTAAAATCTCTGTCGCAAACTATTTCACAAAGCAGCAAAAGTTAAGGAAAGACAAATGTATAAGTTTGACTCTTATAGCTCTCCCCGGACTTGAGGGGTTTGTTCCTTTCGTTGAGGAAATAATGACACAATGTAGCATTATTTTACCATGGCATGACGTTCGTGAAGAAGAACCACGTCATTAGTGCGAGAATACAAAGCGCCGCTAAGATTGGAGGGCTGTTCCCTGGTACTCGCTGATTCCTGTCGTTTGCCCTACTTTTGGACTGGCTCCCATATTTGGAGCTTAAGTGAAAGAAACGACTACTTGTGAACCCCTCTTCGAATTTGCCTGATAACCTCTGCATAAAATACACCCTGGGTACCAGGCAAAATCAACCAGCGGTTGACAGGCGGTCGATAATGGAACTTGGGCCGTTTTCCAATACTCAACTTCGGCTCCGTCTCAGGCTTCAACTGTTTTTTACTTGCTGACTTTGAACCTGTGAGCGCAGTAATCAGTCTAATAGTGCCACAGAACATCAAATAAGATGCAAAAAAGCCCAAAATTATCGCAATCCGATGTAATTTAAACGCTTCAGGCCCACAATCAGGGATTGGATTTGGGAACGAAGCATGAGACGGAGACGAAGTTGAGTATTGGAAACGGCCCTAGTCCTCTTTACTTGACTAGAGGTCGCCCTGTTTCGTAAGTGCATGCAGTCCATCGAATAAGTACTGACTAAAAGTGGGAGGTCTAGCAGTTGCGAAAAGTTAACCCCAATTTGAAGAATTCCTCTATTAGTGAACGTAATCTTTGTCGCTTTCGAGATTTCCGTACGATATCCCCTTCAGCCGCCGCCTCCTCACCACGTACACGGCAACTCCGATGATGATGACGACCGCGGCCAACACGCCAATGACGATGCCAGCGATCTTGCCCCCGTTGTTGGGGCTGGGCTTGGTGGGCGGATGATCAGTGGGCGCCTCGGTGGACGGATTTGCTGTCGTGGGCTTCTCCTTGCAATGTTCCACTGCCGTAAAGAAAGCACTAGTTAGAATGACACATTGTCTTCTCGCCAAAAACTTCAGCACCTCAAAGACAGACTACAAATCAAAACGCCTCACCCTATTTGGGTAGTGACTATAGTACTACACTAACTCGCTCTCACATTAGAGAAACATGAAACACAAACAACAGGCCCAGTGCCGCTACCAAAACAAAAACTGAGGCTCTGCTCAAAGGGCGAATGGTATAAAACCTCATAAAGGTGGGCATGTGCCCATCCACTTCAAAGCATTTCCCACACAAGTCAGGCGAAAAGTGGTTTCCCTTACGGGCAACTGTGCAACATTTGGAATTTTTGTCGGAGCAAACATTGGTCTGATATTGACCAAAAACAAACTGATAAGGGTGAACTTTCTACCCATTATACAATTTACTTGGGATAAGAAGGCCTTAAAATCTGCAACTCCCTACAAGTATGCTGTACTTGAACTTTGTTTAACTACATGACAATTTAAAATCCTGACGACTTTTGGGTTTTATTCCATAACTATTTGCCAATAATATTTGGTACATCCTTTAAATTTCCAATGCATCTTCGAGCCTGTTGAGCCGAAAACATAGGCCCCATTTACTGTCCTTACCGTCGCCGAATGTGCCATTTGCAAAGTCAGCGTAAGGCTGGAACATCATGTGATCTAGAATGAGTGTCACTGGTCCACGGCTGAACCTCATTGTCTGGCACCCAAACGTCTTCCCGACTGTGCCTTCGTAAACATTTGGAAAAACTCCAATGGCTTCCTTTCCTGTTTATAAAAACGAAGAGAAACTCCTAATAAAACACGGCAAATGGGCATCATTGCAATATTTTCGACGAAGTACAACACTAAGCATAGAATTACTGGGGTGGATCCAGGAATTTTCCGGGGGGGGGTAGGCAGGAGATTTTTTTTCAATACCTCAACTTTTTTGCGGACAACCGCAAACCATGCTCAAACATTCACATGCCAAACCTTGTTTACAATGGAATTGCAGTTATTTGAAAAAAATTATTTCCCTTATTTAAAAACTTTTTTGGATCTCAGAGCGGGGAGGGGGTTCAAATCCCTCACCCCCAGGATCCTCGCCCGAGTTTAAATATAAAATGCATTGATTTCCGACCCGATGCTTATTTCAGCTGCAATGTTCAAGCTTTCACATGCGAGCAAAGCGCACTGAAACTCACCGTAATCCACTACATTCCGCGGGAAGAACGGCTCATAATACTTCCAACCCACACTGAGGAGGCCCAACTCGTAGTAGACTTCATCGAGAGAAGTGATTACAAACTGTGAAGTCAGTGCCACTGAGCCAGATGCGTTGGAGCCGGGGACGTCGTACTGTGTTTTGATGCTTAAAAATCTCTGGACCTCGTACCGGCAAAACGACCCGTTAGCGGTCCACTCAGCTCCCGTGGCGTTGAAGTCCCCGCCAACGTGAATGATTGCCTCGCCCCTCTGTAGGCATCAACATGAAGATTGGGAAGAACGGCAGTGAGTTGGGAATCAACCCTTGGAACACGAGTGTTCAGCGAGCTTCGGCTCCGTATTAGAAACTTCTTCAGCCGGTATTAACTAAACCGACGCTACTTCTAAAAAGTCCTTCATTCGCTTTCCAAATCCCCTGATAATCGTCTCTAAATCTAACGGTTTCTTTCAGCGTCTGACTCAGTCAATCTTTGAAATATTCATCTTAGTTACACTCAAATGGATGGAGTCATGGAGGAACAAGTTGTTACCAAAATAACTATGCCGGGAGTTGATTAAGTATAAAAAACACAAACAAAATACCTTATTGTCCGTGGTGTTATATTGGATTATCAAGGTTGCATTCAGGACGAACAGCATACACACATCGGTACCATTTCTGACCAGATAACTGCAAAACCAAAAATGAATTTGAAAATAAAATTGACATCGACGATCCAAGTTTGTATATAAGCCTCACAGAATTCCGGCACTGCCGAAACAGTTTTCCAGGATTACGCGAGGGGCGGACGCAGGGGTGGAATTAGCCTATATAATGGGCGTTGCCAGAAAAGGGACAAGCTCTTGGATGGGGACTATTCGTCAAAAGCAAACCATTTCTGGTGAAAGGGGGTCTACAATTTCCAGGTTTTCCTTTTAAAAAATTCCCCGTGTGAATTATGTTCCACGGGCAAGAGCTCTCTTGCCCTGCCCCCAAGTGACAACCAAAAGGTGTCGTGATCGCTTTCTCCTTTACGATTTTCCCCTTAAGGGGAAGAACAAGTGACAGTATTCATAATACCCTTGTGTGACGTGTTGCTTAGATGGAACCCTCACGTTTCCAAAACAGCCTATCGTAAAATCTCTCCCTGTATTTGCAACTCAGTTTTTATCCAGGGCAGAGGAGATTGTTGCGCATCATCCCAATACAAAAACTGTATCCGCCGCCTAAAATATTCTTCAAAATGATGGCAAAACCTCTGGCTGGTTTAGGCGGTCTGAACATTTTAATGATTTATTAAAAAAAAGGTTTGTAAAATCCAAATTTCCCCAGCCTAAAATCAATCGAGTCGATGTCATAACCTTATCTTAATGTCTACAAAATTCAATGTCATTTTTTCACTCAAAGAAAATCGCCGCTGCTAGGGTTACCTAGGTATGACTTTTCTTTGCTCGGATATGGTAGTGGCCGCTGCTTCGGTGGTGGCAAAGGTAGAGCCGGTTCCATTGGACGTGGTGTTACCAGGTGCACCGGTTGGATTTATTGGGGATTCGGTAATATTTCCAGGCGTGTGTTGAGAGGTGGTGCCAGGTAGGGCGGTGGATCGTCGAGCGGTCGTCTTCGGCGCCGCAGTGGAGTGATGGGCGGTCGTCTTGGGCGCTGCTGTGGTGTGATGGGCGGTCGTCTTGGGCGCCGCGGTGGTGTGGTGGGAGGTCGTCTTGGGCGCTGCGGTGGTGTGATGGGCCGTCGTCTTGGGCGCTGCGGTGGTGTGGTGGGAGGTTGTCTTGGGCGCTGCGGTGGTGTGGTGGGAGGTCGTCTTGGGCGCTGAAGTGGTGTGATGGGCGGTCGTCTTAGGCGCTGCGGTGGTGTGGTGGGAGGTCGTCTTCGGCGCGATGGAGTGTGGACCGGTGGTCTTTGGTACACTTGTATGTGAAACCACGGTTGTTTTCTTGGGCGGCTGCATGGTTGCTCCCGAAGCCAGTGTCACAGCTGCATTTGGAAAAAATATTTTGGACCAGTTATTCAAAAAGATCTTTCTAAATGAATAATTCATGGCCACGAAAAATAGTACTCATAAGTTTTAGCTAGTATCTTTCAAAGTGTCGTTCAAATATAGCCTCATGGAGTTTTTCTCTTACATTCTTTTTCCCACATCAATAATTATCCATGCTTTACCGGAAAACTGAGGGTACAACAATGTATCACCAAAGAAAAGCAACTAAAGGCCATCAGAACCTTTGTAAATGACATTATTAAACACAGAGCAATGTAACATTAAGGTTTTCGACCGAGGACGACATCACACTTATAGTAACTGAGAAGGCTCAGCATGAAAAACCAATCTACAATTTGAAACAAAACTTTAATATCAGGTCAGCTCGAGAACATAAAGGTGGATTTCCTGGTGTGCATTGAAGAAAGAATGCCACGGTAGCTACCCTTTAAATGAAGCTCCAAACCAGTCATTGACTCAGCCATCAGCGCACGAACAGGAAAAGCGAGGTTCCTGCATTTACCAGCACCGTGAAAGTGGCACAGGTGCCTAGGTGGCAGGAGAGCTTTAATAACACGACATGATAGGCCCACAAGGCCTGCAGTCCTCTAACTAGTCCTGATTTAGAGTGTGCGGGCGGGATTGACAACCCACAGTTTAGATCTAAGCATTTTTGTTAGTTATCCGGGATCGGGTTCGCAATCAGCGAATAAATAAGTTTATACAAAAAACATTTGGCATAGTTTCGGTGAGAAGTGTAGAGGCTTTCAACACCAACTGTAGGAAAATACCGACATGCCCTGCGCCAACACACGCTCTTTAGACTGTCTGCTGGAGCGCGGTTGTTAAACGGTGCTCTGTGTTTTGGTAGACAAGAATGAGATTACATGTTGACTGTCAACGACTCTCTTACCTCCAGCCATCGCCAAGAAAAGGCAAAAGAATGAGACGTTCATCTTGAAGTGTTGGCGGAATTTCCCCTTTGCGAGTCGCAGCTAGATGCAGTGGAATCAGGGCGTGCCTGAGCGCGTGCACCGGATATTTCGACACTGCGCGAGACGTGCAACGTGGAACAGACCCCGCGCTGTTTGGTTTCGGTATTGCGTGCCGGCTGTGATCCATTGCCCAATACCGTGCAAGGATTTTCGGTACTTGGACTTTGGCCAACCGTAGCCAGCCACCGTATTTACCACTGAGATAACCTTACAACCGATCAGGCAACTATTTCCAAGTCGAACAATAGAAGTTTGCTTGTAGACCCATCACTCTCCGGTCAACACGGAGGGAACACATGTTGAAACGCTAAAGTAATTAAGCACCGATGTATTTTCCTAAACATCATATCAATACACGCTTGAAGGAAGACGTGTGGACCGCGTGGACTTGTACCCGTTTGTTTGTGATTAAGTGAAGGAAACCAAACCTCGACAGCCCCCTTGTGAAAGAGCAAGAGCGCCAAAAATGTTATGGATACATGTCCTCTGAAATCGGACCACTCGTGCCATTTTCGCATCGTAAAGTATCAAAGAATATGCAGGACATAAATAAAATTTTACAATTTGCGTATAGCTACCATTACAAAATTAGAAACAGGCCCCTCGTTATATTATTAAAAGTCGAAATCGAGACATCAATTTTAACATGTATATCACAAATACAATTTTTTAATTGAAATGAGGGTAGAACCGTAATGTGAGACGTTATCCTATCTGTGGCTTTTCAAATTAAAAACTATACATAACTGCAACCGTTTAAAGCAAATATGCTGACATGCCCTTCCGTACGAGCTTGTAAATGACTTTTCATCAAGAGTGAGAATTCACGAGTTAGAGGCCAGTGTTTTTTTTCCAAACCGCTGACAAGGACTTTGATTTCGCTCTCTGACCTACTTCTGGTTTCTATTAGTAACAAAGTCTCCGACGGCTTCTACAAAAGATTCCAGTTCTTTAAAACTGTACATAGAAGATAATTATGGTGGCAGGTATGGGGATGAAGTTTAAATGGGCAAACTCGGGTGTGTTAGAACCAAGTAAAAGTAGCCAAAGTCGCATCACCATGTGTGTCGTCCATCTAGGCTCCGTTCAATACGGGCATTTCACAATAGTGCGCCTCCAAGAGTTTGCAACGCTTTGACCAATCACAGTGCGCGAAAGTTGTTGACCCATGCGCGTTTGGAAAGGATCGACAGATTTCGCGCACTGTGATTGGTCAACGCGTTGTAAACTCTTGGAGGCACACTATTGTGAATCGCCCGTATTGCCAGAATGTGTTTTGTCAAATTATATTTGGCCTTTTAGAACTAATCACTCCACAGATGCATCACAAGTCAGGAAGACCATTAAACAATGGAAGGATAACAGAACAAAATGAAAAGCAGAATTTCAGGGTGAAACTAAAAGCTTAAGCAGTGACAAGGCGGGTGGCTGATGCTGCTTTGTTGTGTAGTCTCGACCAGTCCCGGTGTCATGCGCAAGTCTTGCATAGTAAGTTTTTCGGGACAACTTTTATCTGGTCTCCACACTGCACGTCAACTCCGGGGGGGGCGTATCCACTTGCATTTGGGGGAAGGTCAAACATGAGTGATTTGTTAACCCTTCTTGACATTTGTGAAGTGTGGAGGCTACGCGTTGAGGCATTTTACATGTAATGGAGAGCAAAAGAAACGAAATCATTGAAACAAATCGTCTTTTTTCCTTAAGAAATCAACGAATAGAGTCCATTTTTTGGGGGGTGGGTGGGTGGGGGGGAGCCATAGACCTCTTGGGCCGCTGGGTCTGCCAATGGGTCAGGTCCCGGTCTCCATTGTGTCCATGACGGTTCTGTATGGAATTTTGTTCGGCCGCCGTCTCCTGATGATCAGGCACATCGCACCGGTAGCCGCCAGGGCTGCAAGGATTGTGCCCACGACCGTGCCGATTATCAGGCCGGTGTGGTCTGTTGGACCACCGACAGGGAAGGGGGAGGTGGGCCGCCAGGTGGTCACCGAGAGGTTGGAGGTCGCCTCCGAGGTGGTAGCATTTGGCAGGATCTCGGTTGTCTGCAATGGCTGGGTCGTCGTTGGAAAAACAGGCCGGACACTTGGCGTTGTTGGGTCACACACGTCCTCTAGACGGTTAACAATTAGTGGAGAATAAGAACAGTTCCAATCAATCATCAAATCTAGTGCATGAGTCCCAGTGCTCGCGTCTCAAAGGAGACGTCACAACAATATTCCAATGAGGGGAATATACATAGGTCTAGACAAAAGGGTAGATTAAATTATCGAAATGGTTCGTTTTGTGCACCTGTGATCTTCAGATTAGTTTAGTTTTCTAATCACTGTAGTGGTTCTTAAGATACATGAGTCTTGCAGTAATTTCAAAGGAACTTTGCTGTACAAGAATTGTGGGAAGTCTAATCAAACCAACTCCCACTTTTTTGCAACAATGGTTTCTTAATCATAGACTTACCGTATCCAAAGCCGCCAAAATCGGCGTAGGGCTGCACGAGCATGTTTTCCAGAGTGAGCGTTATTGTAGCGTCGCTCAGCGTGAGAATGTCACACTTAAACGCTGCACTATAACCGTACATTTCACTCACAAAACTGGTAAATATCCTGCCGTCCTGCTGACCTTCAATAGAGAAAATTTCTAAGAAAATTGAAACAGCAAATCTAGAGAAAAAATGATAATGATTAGTTCAACAGAAATGGAAGTTAGTACTAGATCGATAACGACGACTACGACAATATGTAAACATTGACAACAACCGCAACTACGGAAAAAACAACAGTAACGACATCAATGACAACGACGACGATAACGGGTGTTGGTGGGCCTGACATCTTTACTTATGACCCAGTCATCCTATTTGCTTAATATCTTCTTTTTCTCACTCTTGGCTCATTCGTGCTGTATGAATCCCGTCTTTCGGGTAACACACAATCAAACACTTACCGAGTCTTTCCGCGTTATCCGGGAAGAAGGGCGCCGCATACGTCCACACTACCTCCAGTTCCGGGAACAACAAGCCGACGGGCTTTTGGTTGATTTTGTAAATACTAAATGAGAACCGCAGGCGGAGAGTATACGACGAATTGTCGGGGTAAGCGAAGAAAAACTCTCGGTGGTCCATGGAGTACCTCTCACACTTTCCATAAGCTTGCAGGCTCTCCGGGAAGGGAATGACTGCTTCTGCCGACTGAAACAAAATCGAATCACTAAGCTACGAGGGAGAATTTAATCCCAAAATGGCGGCAGGTCAGATTGAAGATGGCTGAAAAGGCAACCACACACACACAAAATAAATAAATAAAAAAAAAAACAAAAAAAACCCCAAAACCACAAAACAAAAACAAACAAACAAATACCAACCCCCCCCCCCCAATACGACATCACGACATGCAGGAGCTACTCACCTCTCCGTCTGTTTTGTCGAATTTGATTTTCAGTGTGGCGGTAAACATGGCCAGTATGCACACGTGACCGTCCGTGTCGTTGATTTGATAGCTGCAAGAGAATTCCAAGCAAGAGGTGAACGGTAAACGTCTAACAACCTCGGGATAACAAGTAGCCCCCCTTCACCCTATAACTTCTACAAGAGCTGCCACATTCCCACTTCTACCATAATCGCGCCATTTTGTGAGATGCACACCACTCATGTGATGAAACACCAGATGTGAGGCGAGTCTGGTGTGCAAGAGAAAAGACCCTGAATCAGACTTTGACTTTGAAGAAACAAACACGCAGTTTTGATTTCTTAATGCTTAAGTGGGATTGAACAGATCCATGCACTGATTTCAGAGATTGTCTCGAACTAAGGTCTTGATGATATTTTAATCATACAACATGCCGACTTGGAGTTGAAGATTTACTTAAAATATCGTTAATCACACATTACCACTCTAGAGCCTACAGATTTCGTCTACGAAAACTTCAACAACTAATAAAACAATGAAATATCGACCCCAAACCTTTTTATACATCCCTGAATCTAACCCCCCTCCTATCTGGTTCGTAAGTGTGACGTCACTTCAGTTTAAACCACGCCCGCTGCACACGTGCACTGCACATAGGGTTACATGCTCTGATCGCCGTTTACGTGGAACCATGGGACGGGAAGTTAACGCGCAACTCCAGCGATCGTCCAATGGGTGCCTACAAATCGTGACGCGTCTGCCTTTGTGACGAAGTCACTTACGAACTGGCTACCTTTCAACCTCACCTTGTGACCGTAATCCTGAATTAACCTAAACCTTGTTGGATTCCTGCCCAAAATGCTGAGTGGTACCGAATCGTGTGCACAGTGTGGTAAAAAAATGTTCTCTTTAATATGTCGTGATGTCTACTTAAAAAAATACTTTTCATAATACAGGCTGTTCTTGAAATATTTGTTGCTACGTTTCTCCTCATTAGATATGTATGGTTAGCTTAACCATCAGGACGTCAAAAAGAGTAAATTTGCATTTTTATAGACGCTATGTCTTTTTTACGTTGGGATGAGTTCACTCTGGTTAACAGTTGCTGGTAGCCCAAGGGTTGTTGTTGGAGGGGCTGATGTTGTCGGTGCTACTGTGGTCGCCAGGTTAGCAGTCGTCACAGCGGGGCTTGTCGTCGTGGCGATCCCAGCTGTGGTAGTGATGACCCCCGTAGAGCCCGCCGTGCTTTGCCCGGTGATTTCAGTCGGTGCTGTTGCGGTAGCTGGTGTACTGGTGCCATTTACTGCTCTGGACAATCGGTTCCCTTGGGCCCTCCCTGCAAGCCGACGGACGCGAGAGAAAAGTTCTTTTGAGTGGATCTGAAATCTTGACCACCGTGACCGTATTACCATCAGCGAAGGCACTCAGACCCCTTTAATTAGCCTCCAAAAATTTGCAATAAAATTGCTTTTACTCCAAGTGCCACGGTCCATCGATCCATGTTCATAGAAGACAGTCAGCAGTTAGTTCAGATCTAACATGATCTTGAACCGATGATGTAGCGGCCAAAACGGCCGACAGAATGAACGGAACCCGTGGAACAAAATAGAGCGAGGATCCGTATAATTTCGTTTTCTCAGCCTGTTTGGCTACGCTGCAGGCGGTCCGCGTTCTCGCTCTCACGGTTGGACCATACAGCTAGTGAACAGAAGCTGTCCCAGGAATATTTAGAACCGTATAAGGATTCTTGAATTGATCATTCTGACCACGAAAATAACTAACACAGATATTCATTTTTTAATGACAATCTCTGCCGTACTTTTGGCTTTTTGAAGAATGTTGGATCATGAAAATTAGTCGAGTCAGACGTATGACACAGATAATTCTTGGAAAGCCGAAGTCTGTTTCTGTCATTTTAATGGTAAAAATAATCAATTCGAGCATTTCGGCGGTATCCCATGATACTGGAAGAAAATAGAGCACTTGGTTGGATTATCATCTGCCCTTGGTTGAAAGTATATTATATAGACTGGAAATACTCAGAATGGAATAAAAACAGGCGAAGAAAAAAGGTTTTTCGATGCAACAATTTTGGGTTCCTACCTCCGTGACAGCACCAACCTTCAAGCAGCAAAAGGATAACACAGCAAAAGAACGGAAATCCCATCGTTTCGAAATGAATATTTTACGAGCACTCCAGCGCCGGGACAGAACAAAATTCCTTACAACATACGCATGACACGGTACAACAGCTGTTGCGAAAATATCTATCACGTTTTTTGTTTACCTACGGTCAAAACAAACCGGTTAGTCCCTGGACGGATCAGACACTGATCGTATGCTGATGTCCTTTGTCAGATGTGGCCTGTGGACAGATAATCTCACAGCTCTTCGTAGCAATCAATCGCACTACTAATTTGTTTACTGCAAAATGGAATCCAGTCGAGAGACTATTGTGCAATTTGACTGAGGCGGCAGCTGACGGAGCGCAGCATGCACTTGGAATTTTAATTTATGGAAGGGCGGTAAATTTGTTTGGACCTTTGCAAATCAGAGTTCTTGTTTCTCCATTTGTCATCAGATGGCGTTTATAGTGCACATAATTTCTCGGGGTACTACCGGGGTGGGGGTGAGGTTGGGGAGCTGGCCTGCCGTGCCCTGTGACCACATGCTTGCTTCACTAGGCCAAAGTATCTTAAAGGAAACGTGTGGTGAATAGACTAAACGGTTTCCAATGAAATATGCTATTGTTAAAATATGTATACCTACTATAGTATTAATATTGTTTTATTGGATGTAAAAGGAGAAGGTAATTTTTCTAAGAAAATACATTCATCAACGCTCTGCACGAGGGCGCTATTTTGATGTAGTCATAAAAGGTACTTCTTGTCAGAAGTGTATAAGAAGAGCACACAAGCGAATCTTTCAAAATCACCCGCCAACTATGTTCTGAGGAAATACCGGCCACGATCGTTGTCCAGACAAGCTGTTTAACATGAAAGCCAATTAGTAACTGCACACATCCTACTCCAAAAATGGAGAAAAGTGCGATACATAAAATTCTACTGTGCAGTACACAAAGCTATGGGACCCGCTCTGTCTGGAATTGAACCAATCTTGATCTCATGAATATGGGAAATCTTCATGAGCATAAAACCCCAAAACGCTGAAATTCTTTTTACTGCTACAAAGGAATTGTGTAAATTCATCGTAACACTGTAAAATCAACCTGTGGTTTGCACGTATATCCTGCCCATTAAAAATCCCGTTACATGCACGGTCCTTTAAAACATTAGCCTAGTTGTTCAACGTTATAGGCTAAGCGATAAGGTGACATCCTGTGCGAGTGTGCACTATTGTGCACTCGAATTGCGAACTGCATTGACACTGTTCCCTCATGTGAACCTGGTTATGTTTACAATTTGCATACAATTCTACACACACTCTACAGACTTAACAAGATTGACATCGTCACTGACCTAAAACCTGCCAGGCTAAAGCGCAAGCACAAGAGGGCGCTGTTCTGACTAATACTTCTCAGTCAAAAAACAATGTGCATCTTGTTGAAAGTCTTTAGAAGTTTCATACCAGATTGTATACCGTACCTCGAGCTGTCACGACAAGCATTAGACAGACAAGGGAGAAATTCGTCATCGGCGGCGTCATTGCGTCTTTCTTGACTCGTCGTCGGCTCAATCCTAGCTTGGGCGACAAAAATCTTGAACTACCATCACGGCTAGTTGAAGTCTGTACGACAGGCTATATACTACATAATAAACATGTACTACACTCGCGTGTTCTCTCCAGAGCTATTTCAATGCCTCTTGACACTTTACGCGGCCGGAAATTAAACAAACAAGGTGCATATTTCCGTAGGACAGGTTACTCAAATGGCTATTTGGGGACATGACCGTTGACCGTATTGACCCGAGCTCTAACGTTTCCCAAGCATGCTGCAACCGTAGAACGACATCGGTCACGTACAGTACATGTCACGTACAGTAAGTGTGGGCACTTAGTACACGCATTACGTGAAGACCTACAGTGTACAGTATGTCTACACGTACATGTACATGTACAGTGTACTGTTCATGCAACATTTACACAAGCGGGGGGGGGACGGAAGGGTGCTATGCGACAAGCGCCCCCTACGTTCAAACTCTATTCATTCAGTATTGTGCAGCGACGGCGTGCACATCATTTGTTTCTTTGCTGCGTGAAGATGGACCACGCGATCCACAAACAGCCGGCAATCATTTTTATTGATAATTTATTAATTTCAACCGTGACTCGAAGTGTTTAAACCCGTATGATATTTTAACGGGACTTTCACTTGTATCAGAAAAGTTAATCTTCGAGATGAAAATTGTCTTCGGGAGAGATATTTTATTTACCTGCAATTCCTTTTTGACCGTGCCATACCGTAGCAACTTGCCGACGCGTTACCCGCACACGCGTTTGTGAGCGATGGTCGGTCGTGCGTGCTGCATCTCCACGCAATGTACAGTAAGTTTTGATCGAACGTGAAGAACTTTTTGACTACACGCGTACCCAGAAGCAATGGACAAATTTGAATGGGACGCATCACTCGTTTTTTTTTATAACGTTGTGGAAAAAGGGTCATGTTGAAGGGAAGGATTTCCTTTAAACGACTACAGTTGGAAGGTGAGGCCTTTAAACATACATTTCAGAAAAAAAAAAGTTGAAGGTGGGAGTTTTATAAATTCAACCGTTGTTATGCATGGAATTCAGGGGCGTTAATTTGAGGATATCACAGCGCAGCGTGTGCATTATAAACGTGCTCGCACGCACGATCCATAGCTGGATTGAGAAGCTGAAATCGGAATCCTTTTCTGGAATCTCCATGGTCTACATATTGAAAACAGAACAAGTTCTTCAATAATCCTTGTAGATAATGGAAACGCAGGAGATTTTAACTTTAAATGAAACAGTTCCTTAATGAGCACCCCCTTTTAATGAATGGAATAAGCTTACAGACCGTTGTGCGCACATCACGCGCAAACCCCTTCCGTCACCCCCCTGTACACAAGTGTACAATACGTGTGCCGCGCCTGGCGCGCCCAAGCTGTGCGCGTACCGTACGCATACGCACGTACAGGACGTTTTGTGGATATGTCTTGATACCATATGCCAATATTCTGACATTGGCGATAGCCGTCGAATTGTGCGGAAATAATAAATCATGGCTCGTGACCTTTGAACTTTGCTACTCAACCAGATTGTGGAAAGTGGACACTTTAGCACGGGGAATTTTGTTGACAAAAATTCTTTAGGACGGTACAGCTTCACTGATTTAGCGGTTACTGCTGCGGTCCAGTCTGTAGTCTGCGGGAAGTTCGGGAGAGACTGCCGCTTTAATGGCTGGTGCCTCGCTCGCGCACTTTGATCGCAGATGCAGTCTGCTACTACATGATCTTTATGTAACTTTGCACATACACAAAAGGATATCCGCGGCTTCTCTTTCGAAAGTAAACAAAATTATCACTTGAACGAATATGGCGTTTAGAATAACTTCAAAAAATTCCAGTTTTGGACAAAATTTGACTCGTTTGCAGTCTGCTTTGCTTGCATGGTAAATAATGCCGTTAATTGGTTGGCGTTTAGTGTTGTGGACGGGAGGTTGGTTGGGGCCTTTTCTCTTGTTGTTGGACTTTACCTTTCAATTTTATCCGACAACAGTCGGTTTGTGGGCATTGAAGCATGGCGGACACAATGGGAAGGCGCTATTTGAAGTGGGTCAATGTGGAATCAACACAAAAGATTTTACCCACAGACACATTGAATTACATATCGCTGTATATTCGCAGAGTTTATGGTGCCATAACTTCAGTTGAGTGATTCGGCTCAGTTCTCAGGCTGTCGAATCCATGATGCCGTGCCCACATACTGTTTTCCACGAAAGATGAGCTTGATTATGCAATGCACCCAAATTGATGTAATACCGTAAATTTCATCTCCCTTTCCAAGAGTTAAATTCATTACTAATTTGCTTGTAGTGTTCCCAGCTTCTTATAATGTTTTGTCCTACTTTCCTGCTATTTAACTTGAATTGCAATCCCCATATTCATTGGTACATTAGTGACTTTAACTTTGTATCAAGGGCTTGACGGGTCGCAAGGATTTCGAAAGTTAATGTGAACAGCTATACCGGATGAGGTATCAAGTGCTGTAGGCTTCAGTGTCCGCCGCGATCCCGGTGTGCAATCGATCGAGGCACCAGCCATTTAAACGGCATGCAGTCTACCACGGCAGGCACAATCACTCTCCCAAACTCCCCGCAGGCAGCATGGAGCACATAGCACTGGGTCTATAACCACCGAATGTAGAGAAGTTAGTTGCATTGTTCACAATTAATGTTGTACAGACTGATTATATAGGTCGAATGCTGTTGTGAAGAATTGTGTTATCAACAATTCTCTCTGTGCTACATGCTCACACTTCCCTTAAATTTGAAGACACCTTGTCTATAGTGTCGCAAGTTCAAGGGTCACGAACCCAAATTCTGTGCGGGGAGCGTTACGCACACTTCCACGGTTCTCAGCAATATTGGCAAGATACCAAGGCATACCGAAGTACAGTACATGTACATGTACAGTATGTACACTTTCATGTCCAAGCGTACGTGTACATGTACATGTACTTTACTGTACTGTACGTGCTTGTGTCACACCTAGCTATCCTGACCATGTCGTTCCGTGACCGCAGCAGTAAGGAGACGTTGCAGCTCAGGTCAATACGGTCAAGGGTCATGGCTCCGAATAGCCATTTGTTTAAACAATCCTGCGGAAACATGCACCTGACTTGTTCAATTCCCACCCTCGTAAATCGTCAATAGACTCGAAATAGCTCTGCAGAGAAGACGCGATAGACGAGTGTTGTCTCCACGATGTAGTCAGACGACTGTGGTGGAATCTCCAGTTTTCCTTTTTGTTGCCGTGGATTAATGACGCTGCCGATGAAGAATTGCTCCCTTGCCTGCCTGGTGCTTATCTTGGCAGCTGGAGGTATGATATACTGAAAATGAATTTGATTTGAAACTTCTGTAAAGGCTTCCAAAGCCACATCACAAAATGTCATTGTGTAAACCGAGAAGTATTGGTTATAACAGCGCCCTCTTTGTGTTTGTATGCACTTGGTGAGCAGGATTTATCAACTAGTTGTTAGCTAGAATACCCTTATAAAAAAACAAACAAAAAAAAAAACCCAAAAAACCTAGCAAATAAAAGCAAGGATGTCGGGACCGTGAGAACATCATGTCGAATGAGCCCGAAGCGCCCCTTTCCCCCCCCCCGACACCAAAAGTTGGATACGCCCGTTGCGGAGAGGTGCAGATTATAATATTAACCAATTTCATACATATGAAGCAACATCATTGTACTGCAACGCCTTTCAACTTATCGGCACGTTCAGCATATTTTCCACGCCCAGCCTGTAGCGTTGAACAATGTCATTAGCATCGAAGAGGAACCATGGAATAGGATTTTTGAGCCTGGGTTGGATAAAATAATGAAGAACAGCTTCAGACTTTGTACTTTGTAGCAGTAAAAAGAAGACATTAGTGGCTGATTTTGAATGATCGAGTTTGTACTGCTCCTTTGTGACAAGGAGTGCATTCCATGAATTAAAATAGCGCCCTCGTGCAAGTATTTTCGAAGAATTGTAAAACTACCGCCTTGTTTTCACTTCCAAATGAAATCAATTATTAGATCTTGTTTGAAACTGTCGTAACACGTAGTAATATTTATGGAAACAAGTTCAGCTGAATATCCACCACAAGTTTCCTTTAAAATACCTCATGGCGAAACCGTGATGTTGCAGGACACGCCTCCCGAACTCCCGAGAAATACGCCCCTCCCAATACCTTCTGCCCCCTCTCCGGTAAACAGAATTGGGAAAAAAGGAATTACATTTTGTTGAGGCCTAATCCAAACTCAAGCACTGCTCCACCGTCTCGCGACTGGATTTCATTCGGCACCAAACAAACTACCACAGAGATCGATCGTTACGAAAAATTAGGAGATGATCTCGGTACAGCCCTGGTTCAAGGGCAATAGCAAACGATCAGTGTGTAATGTCCAAAGGCTAAACGGTTTGTTTTGACAGAATATAAACAGAACGTGATAACAAATATTGTCGCAAAAGCTGTCGTGTCGTACTGTTTGTCGTAATGCCTTTGTTCTGCACCAGCGCTGGAGTGCTCATAAAATATTCATTTCGGAAAGATGGGATTTCTGGTCTTTCACTGCCTTATCCTTTTGCTGCTTGGAGGTTGGTACTTGCTCGGCTGTTTTCTTGAACTGTTGCATCGAAAACCGTTTTTATACCTTGGTTTTATTTCATTCAGAGTAATTCCGCCAATTTTCTAATTTTCAAGCAAGGGCATACATACGTTTCCGTGGCAACGTGTATTAAAATGCTCTGTGGTCCAACCATGAACGCCAGAACGGACCACCAGAAATGTGGCCAGAAAGGCTGAGACGAACAAACCAGAAGAGTATTGCTGACTGTCTTAAAATATTATAGAGCGAAGGCCTTGCTCTTTTTGATTCATCTATACGGATGCGGCATACATCGATGTATGCAGATAGACTAAAAAAACTCAGCTATAGATGAACCGTAAGACTTGCTGTAAAATTTCAAAAACCTTTGTAGCTTTATTTTGAGACTTTTATCTCAAATTTGTGGAGGCTAATTGAGTGGTCATGTTGGTCATGATTTCAGATCCACTCAAACAGAATTTTCTTCTCTCTTCCGTGGGCTTGCAGGGAGCGTTCGAGGTAACCAATCGTCCGGAGCAATGAATGGCACCAGTACCCCAGCTGCCGCAACAGCACCGACTGAAGTCACCGGGCAAAGCACGGTGGGCTCCACGGGGGCCATTGCGACCACAGCCGGGACCGCCTCGACGACAAGCCCCGCTGTGACGACTGCTAACCTGACGACCACAGTAGCACTGACAACATCGGCCCCTCCGACAACAACCCTTGGGCTACCAGCCAGTGTTAACCAGAGTGAACTTATTCCAACGTAAAAAAGACATGCATATCTAATAGGAGAAAAATGGCGGCATATTATGAACATTAATTTATTTTTAAATTCTTGTCACAAAATATTCACTTTGCCACGTTCTACACATTGGGATTTGGTACCACTGCGCATTTTGGGCGGGAATCAAACAAGGTTCAGGGCGAAGATTAGGGTCAAAGGGTGAAGTTGGAGGTACAGGTTGGGGGTTAAGTTTAGGGATGTATGATAAGGGTTGGGGTTGATATCTCATTGTTTTATCAATTGTTGAAATTTTAGTAGACGAAAGTCAAATAGGAAGGCTTTAAAGTGGCAGTGTGATGAACGAATGGAAGGGCATATTTGAAAAACACATCAATGTTATTCAATTATAAAACAAATAATCAACACTAATTCGGCGTGCTGTGTGACTGAAATATCATCAAGACCTTTTCGAGACCATCTGAAATCCATTCATTAATCTGTTCGGTCCCAATCAATACATGTTTGTTTCTTCATTGTTTCTTCAAAGTGGAGGAATAAGCAATCGAAACTGTATCTCAGAAGTCAGTAGGAGTCTTTTCTTGGGCACACCGGACCCGACTCACTTCAAGTGTTTCGTCACATGAAACATTTGTTTGAGATCTCGCATAATGGCTCTGCGTTTACACCTCTTGCTTGGAATTCTCTTGCAGCTATCAAATCAACGACACGGACGGTCACGTGTGCATACTGGCCATGTTTACCGCCACACTGAAAATCAAATACGACAAAACAGACGGAGAGGTGAGTGGGTCCTGCGTGTCGTAATGTCGTTTTTTGTTGTTGCTTTTTCAACTGTCGTCAGTTTACCTGCCGCCATCTTGGGATTATCTTCCTGGCGTAACTTAGTTACTCGATTTTGTTTCAGTCGGCAGAAGCAGTCATTCCCTTCCCGGAGAGCCTGCAAGCTTATGGAAAGTGTGAGAGGTACTCCTTTGACGGCCGAGAGTTTTTCTTTGCTTACCCCGACAATTCGTCGTATACTCTCCGCCTGCGGTTCTCATTTAGAATCCACAAAATCAACCAAAAGCCCATCGGCTTGTTGTTCCCGGAACTGGAGGTAGTGTGGACGTATGCGGCGCCCTTCTTCCCGGATAACGCGGAAAGACTCGGTAAGTGTTTGATTATGTGTTACCCGAAAGACGGGACTTGGCTCATTCATACAGCATGAATGAGCCAAGCGTAAGAAAAAAGTGACAGCGAGCAAAAATAAATTCTGTCGATCGTCTTAAATAGGATAACTTGGTGAGTGAAGATGTCAGGCTCGTCTGGCGCCCGTTGCTGTCGTCGTTTGTGTCATTGACGTCGTTGTCGTTGCTGTGGCTGTTGATGCTGTTCCTCTGCAGTTGTGGTTATTGTCAATGTTGACATTGTCGTGTTTGTCGGTATTGATCTAGTATTAATTTAACTTCAATTCATATGGAGTTCATTGTTATAATTTTCTTGTAATACCTAATTTTTTTTATAACTTTCTTTGAAATTGACTCCTTTGAAGGTCGTGAGGACGGCAGGATATTTACCAGTTTTGTGAATGAAATGTACA